TACGCTTACACACACGTAAGTATGTAAACGTTTCATAACTTTTGTACGTCTTGATCGATTGTGATGCGGTTTGCAGCGTTCTAAAGATCTCAATGTTGAATTGATTTGGTGATAATATAAACTAATTCAGACGAGTATATTTTGAGAAATCTCAAGAATAAATATTTTGAAGAACTTTTAAACGGCTTTACCGATCGATTTCAAGAACTAACCAACTCTTAACCTCAAAAAATGACGTAGAATGCCGTTTAGAAAATTAAAATCGGTTTGTTCATTCGTGAGATATCGAAGAAAGAATTTGGAAAAAAAAACGTTTTTTTTTAACATAACTTCGACATTTCGCAACATAATTTGGTGATATTTGGAGCGCTTTGCATTTGAAATTAGAGGGAAGTTCCAGGAATGACCTGCAGGGTCAACCAATTTATACGTCTGTAAATAAATAGGCTTTAACAGGTGATCGCAATAAAAGCCTATGGCACTGATGTTTTTCAATTTTTTTTTCTTTTACGTTAACATATTATGAAATTGATCTATCAATAAATACTACTACTTAGTAGCGTATGATTTTTAATTTAATAGTTTTTAATTGATTTATTTATTTAGTTTAAAACTTTTGCTTTTATTTTATTTAGTACTGAATGTTTATTTTAAATCAGTAGTATTTTTATTGAAAGATCAATTTCATAATATGTTAATATAAAAGAAAACAATGTAATATATCAATGCCATAGGCTTCTATTCCGTTCGCCTGTTACATACACCCTATATTTTTCCAGACGGTGAAAAAATCATCCAGTATAGGTTACCATTTTGTTTTACATTATATTTTCAAAGTTTTAAACAGATATTTGATCCGAAGATCGTCTTAATAAAAAAAATTAATACACTATATTTATTATTTGGGCAACGGCAACGCCTGGGATAACACCTGACTTGATAAACTTGGAAAGGAAATTATTATCTATTTTTTAAACATACCGTATAAGGTTTTTCTCCTGTATCGTTCGGTGTATATTACGGTGGTTTACGTACATAAATTGTTCTACGTCACACAAACAATAATTTGTAAGGGCCGTACGAAATAAGTTACTGCTAATGAGAATGTATGTTGTAATTGCAACATATATCGAACAGACGAGTATCTTCTTATTCGAAAAATTTACAACAGAAAAAAGTTTAAAAAAAACTAAGATCAGCGCCATGGGTCTTCGTCACTCTTACTGATGGCGTTCCAGTCTCATCCCGAGAGGTGGAGGGCTAGAGAGATTGAAGTTGGGGCGTTTCAGCCGTTGCCGGTTCAGAGTCTCCCCTGACTTTAAAAGTTATCATTTTAAATCCAAGGACGACTCTGCCGCCCGCCTTCCGAAGAGCCTCCGCCGATGGATCGTCCAGAGAAAAGGTTACTAGGAACCCATTCTCCTCGTCCCTACGGTCGAGGATTCTCCAGAGCTCGGTATTGAGCCCTTCATTTTGTGCCCTCAATAGCACAGCCGTCTCGCACTCTCCAGAGAGTCAGCTTCGCTGCGGGCAGATAGGTAATGTTCAGCTGAGGCTTAGGCTTAACCTTTGAATAAATAAATATAAATTATATTTTTTATTATTTGTGGTATTTAGAACACATAATTTTTTATGTGTTGCACTTACCATAAATGAATGTGAAATGAATGGGAATGAATAGATTTTTTTTTATGTTATTTCTGCATCAATTGCGCACTATACTACTTTTTCAGTTTTAAAGTGTTTTTTTTTACCTAGCACTCAAATAATGTGACACAGCCTTAACTCAAATAAAATGGGTACATTTAAATATTACTATTTATGAAATATTTTAAGGATTAAAAGCTTTTTACTTAGCTGTTACTCTAACTAGAAGCAATTTTTGTAAAGTTAAAAATTTAATAACGATAAGTTTTATTACAAAATAACTTAATTACAGTTAAACTTAAGCGATAAATTGTCAATAAGTTAAGAAGTGGTGCGGTGGAGTAAGCGTGTGTAGCTTGTTTTTGTGTTGCAGGGGGCGAGGGCGGGCGGCGCGCATAGGCGGACTCAGGTAGAGTTTGTTGTGCGTGCCCTAGGCTGTTCTGTATTCACTGTCTGTCAAATAGCGCGCGAAGTGAGAACGTTCTGCGTCGAATCTTCTGGAGTGCGCCTTGAATTTATTGTAATACTATCCAGTTTTTGTGTTCAATTATTTTATCGAAAACACTCCAACAAACATTTAAACTTAATTTATGCGAAACAATAAAAGAATTACAAAAGTTTCTCAAAATGTTATTGACAATTACGTTTCGTAATTAAATCTTATAAGGGAACATAAATTTTTTGGCAGCTACGATAGTTGATTAATACATTGATTTTTTTGGTAAAGGTCTTGTGTCTTTTTACTGGCAAAATATATTTATATTCATTATTTTTTTAATGACCGTCTCCCTTAATGATGAAAATGGACAGAGGCAATTCAATTTTACGAGCATTAATGAAATTAATTATGCTTTCCGAGCTACCTTTTAAGGGGGAATTTATTTACGGCACAGCTATTTTTGTTTTCCTTTTTTATATACTTATTTTATTTTTATTATGCGTTTGATCTCATAACTTGGGATAATATTTTTTGAGTTTTTTTTTTGATATGATCATCGATATAAATAAATAAGATGAATTAATCTTTTTTTTCTAATGTCAAATTTCAAATAATAACAATTATGATGTAAATATCTCAAGGCGCACTTCTCCCGAGTTTCGGTGGATTCGACATCGAACGAATAAATGTTCGCTCACTCTGCACTTAGTAATCGTCGTGCTGTAAGACATTTTGTTTTCGTATTCATTGTCGAGAATTAATTAGTGTGGTTTTATGTTATTTTGTCGTTAATTTAAACTAAATTTGTATTACTGTAAAGTACCTACTGCAAAATACGCGCCCAATAGATCCTCTCGATAAGCCAACGTTTTAATTTTATTGATAACTGTCAAAACTTTTGCTCGAACAGAAGTCGTCGAAACAAAATCACAGAAGCCCCGAGCTAATTGAGTTATTATACCCCTTGAGGGCTCCGTAGTATATTTTTAAGTTACCTGTTTACCGTTGTGTGCGTTTAAATTAATACTAATTTTTATTTTACTCCTACGGAACCCTCTGCGTTTTAAACATCACCATTTAGTGTATTGTGCTAATTATGTGTTGATCTGGATTTGAATTTTGTTCGTTGTTTCATTTTGACTAAAACTGTGTGTAATATGTGTTTTATAGAAGCTGTGGTTGTTTTGTTGTGTCATCACCAGTAGGTGATGATGGTGATGGGAGCGGGGACGCGTGTCAGGGCGGCGGCGTGGCTTGGTACCGTGGCGTTCATAAAAATCGTGTTTAGTAAATAAATTATATTTTTAAATAATTCCTTTTCTAGTAATAAACAATTCACTTTAAGTAGCCCATGAACGAAGCTCGCAATAATGTATTTTAATTAAAAAAAAACAACCAAAATTATCACACATCCGTACTTCCCGCAGTAAAGTGCATAGCACTAAATTAATACATTTTGTAACATAATCTGAAAATGCCATTAAAGCTAATGACTGTACCAACGAAGCTTTAAGCAAACCAAAGGTCCACTATAGCTTATATAATATAAGACCTCATAAATAAAATTACATAATGATTTCTTATATTTACGCGAACACTACACATTGAAATAATACTAGTTTTTACGGAATTTATAGCGTATATTTAACTTTTTAAATACCCGACGTTTCGAACGCTTTACAGCACTCATGGTCACGGGCGGGACTCTGCGCACCCAGCCATCTTCTTCTAATTTCAATAGAGAAGATGGCTGGGTGCTATTATCTGCTTGGGATCCTATAATAAATAAAATTAAATCCCAACCCAACCATACAACTGCAAGACTTCAAGATACCATAAGTTCATACTGTGTAGATCGGAACAAAAGTTAAATTTTAATCTATGGTAACCGCGGATAACTATGATATCTGGACGTTGAATATCTCAGTCCCGCCCGTGACTATGAGTGCTGTAAAGCGTGCGAAACGTCGGGTATTTAAAAAAAACGTGTGGCACTCGGTGACTGCCGCGGTAAAGCTATTGCATAGCATTTTTTATCAACTTATGCAATTATAATTATTTATTTATTTTATTTATGCAGTTAAGTCTTTGATATTAAATCAAGTTACACTTTTTGAGCGTGGTGACCGATAAGAAAACAATTTTTTTTCTCTTATTGAATAAATAAGAAGTTAATATTGTTTAAAATATTTTTAATATCTTACAATACATGTAGGTTATTCAGGAATTTTTCTTTAATTTTTCACGCATACGTCTAGTCGCACGCACACAAACACTGTGCCGAACTCTGCCGAGTGCCGAAGTCTGCCGAACTGAAACGACGTTAGACGATGCACGGCTTTCGACGCCACACCTCCGTGCCCGTCGGAGTGGGGAGCGTGAGGTTTTTTCGTTACGGAATTTCTGGATTCGGTCCCCGTGCTCAAGGCCCGCGATAGAAGCTATGCAATAGCTTAAAAGTTAAATATACGCGATAAATTCCGTAAAAACTAGTATTATTTCAATAAAATTACAGATTATAAAAATGTATCTTAATTTTTTATTAGTATTAAAGCTACATCTGCAGAGCATCTTGCTAATATCGACACCAGTATATCAATTACTACTCTTTTGCGTTTTGAAATTTAATATTGACTATTAAATGTAAAATAACGACTTTAAATCAATCATACAACGTGATATAAACAAACGATACATGCATACAGTTGTTAATAAAAAGCCCGTCACTCGCACTCGCCCGGTCATCTGCGAAACCGCACAACTCGGTTTTATCGAGTTCTTTTTTTTTTGGGGTATGCAATTGGCACGGAATTCTATTTTAAGTCCGCCGCTCCACGCACCACCGCTAGGCTTATTGTGGTTTCACACTGTGTGGAATTTTCTAATAAAACTGATCATGTTTTTTTCGCCACAGATCGGAAGCTGTTCGTTGGGATGCTCAGCAAACAACAAACGGAAGAGGATGTACGCCAGCTGTTCACGCCCTTTGGTACAATAGAAGAGTGTTCTATTCTACGTGGACCGGACGGCGCGAGTAAAGGTATGTCCTAATTTTCTGCACATATATTAAATAATCCAGTATAAAATGAATCTTAAATTATTGATAGTCACGCATAAACATATTAATATTCATAATTGAAAAACATAGTCATATTATGTTAGTGCCTATATAATACGCATGTTACTACGAATTTTCAAAAATAAAAACACAATTACCTTTTCCGAGATTTTATAATTTACAATGACATGCCTTTTAATCAATGAAAATAAATGTATTCAAACGATAAGAGAATGAATTGTACGTTCGCACGATGGATTAAATTTCTCGCAGTCGGTACGTTCGGCGTTCAAAAGATTTGCGCGGTATTAGTATTAAAAGTGTATTTCACCTGTACCTCAAAGTCAGAAGGACACAGGGGCTTACGCCCTATCTAATAATTTCGCACGAGCGATGCAATCAAACGTGAGATTCTGAAACGCTGAATTTCGTTCGTGTGTTACATTAAGTACACTCATAAAGAAAAGCATATGAGTAACTTGATATCATTAGTTTATTATTACTTTTTTCGGTAAAGAAAATTTATTAGAATACACGCATTTTACTAACATTACACGCGTAGGTAACGCAAAATTAAAATTTACTAATTGAATACGAATACCGACTTTGCTATTATGATAGTAAAAATATTACAAAGGTATTGAAATAATACTAGTTTTTACGGAATTTATCGCGTATATTTAACTTTTTAATACCCGACGTTTCGAGAGCTTTACAGCACCCATGGTCACGGGAAGGACTGAGATGTTCAACGTCCAGATGTCATAGTTAACCGCGGTTACCATAGATTAAAATTTAACTTTTGTTCTGATCTACACAGTATGAACTTATGGTATCATGAAGTCTTGCAGTTGTATGCTTGGGTTGGGTTTTAATTTTATTTATTATAGGATCCCTATCGATCGAGAGGATAGGTGCTATCATCTGCTTGAGATCCTATAATAAATAAAATTAAAACCCAACCCAAGCATACAACTGCAAGACTTCATGATACCATAAGTTCATACTGTGTAGATCGGAACAAAAGTTAAATTTTAATCTATGGTAACCGCGGTTAACTATGACATCTGGACGTTGAACATCTCAGTCCTTCCCGTGACCATGGGTGCTGTAAAGCTCTCGAAACGTCGGGTATTAAAAAGTTAAATATACGCGATAAATTCCGTAAAAACTAGTATTATTTCAATGTGTAGTGTTCGCGTAAATATAAGAAATCATTATATTACAAAGATATTTATTTAAAGAAAATATGTTTTAGACTCGCGTCCATTGTATCTTATATAAAGCCGGCTGCTGGTTCACGTGCGGTTTCGGCTGCGCCTGTACCAATCCAAACAACGACTCTCACCGCCACGTTACACGTCATATTCGCCAGACGCGACAGAGCGTCTCGGTGTGACGCAACTTTAATTTCATTTACAACCCGCTCCAAATTCGTCGAATTTTAATTGAGTTTAGCCCGTAAACTCCGCAACAGCGCTGCGCGGTTTGTTAGTTGCCTAAGCGAGACTGTCTTTATGTACACATTAAGCTTTTTACGTATTAAACGCCTGCCTATTCTGTCATTATTGGACGATAAAGTTATTAAGTGCAGATGTACCGAACAGCGCGGCAAATTGTTAATTTGCTTTAATTACCAACGGCGCTGCGGGGTGCGATAAACTCATTTTTATGGGCTCCTTCGCGTTATGGTTGTCGACGTTTTCATTTTATATTAAGTGAGATTTTAGTCCCGCTATTCAGCCTTCGATGCTTGAGATGGCAAACTTAAAAAACCGCCTCCAGCTGCATTAGCATTATTCGTACAAGTGGCTCGGTCGCATAAACGTGTTTTCTTTTTCTTTGAAAATAGAATCGTAAATGAAGTTTTTAAGTGCCAACTACATTTTTTATGTACCTACTGCAAATGTTTATACGCTAAATATTTTGACGTTTCTCTTAAATTATTTCATTATATTTAATGAAAATGTACCCTTACACTAGAAGTTTTTATATAACGTGGTAATGATACGCATTACTATATTATCGAATACAATCGCAGAAAACATCCAGAACCACCATCAGCTATTTGTAGGGTATACAAAAATCTATTTTGTGAGGGATTTAAACCCGCGACCCGAAACCTTGCAGACAAACGCAACCACTTAATACGTGGTAAAGCCATGCTGCAGCTATATTATGGTTGTAGGTCGAATAGGTCGGCTCGACCCGAGAAGGACCACGATCGAAAATAGCAGCTTAATACTGCTGTGTTTCGTGTGATGAGTGTAGACATCCGGAGACCCTTTTTTACTGGAAACGAGACACCAGAGCGTTTTGATTCTTAATTGAGGATAAATGTAGATGTCTACAGGCCACTGCATCCACTTACCATCAGATGGATTGTGTGCTCGTATGCTATTACACTTATTCTATTTTTAAAAAAAAACTAGGGCAGTGGCACGCTCAGGTATCGTTTAAACGGAGTGTACTGTAGCGTTTAAGGTCTTAGGCGATATAAACTGTTATCACAGCCATTCACATTTAAATCATTGAGATTACGCCAACTTCCTGTAAGAAACAACGGATGGACGGGTATTATAGCTTTTTTATCATCTACATCATCAGCCCGTAATAGTATATTGCTGGGTATAGGATTCCCCTGTTGAAGGTAGGGCTTGTCTCAATCGTTTCATTTGTCAAGCGGATTGACGATCACACCATCTTATATTTCGAATCTTTTAAAATATCGCGGCGGTCGTGGTAATTTAATTCTAGCGTAAGTGAGATTGTTAAACGGCCATCTGTTTGAAGAAATAAGATTTTTCTGGCGTTTTCTAATGTCGAATATTACGACCCAAAATAGGGTGTTGTAATTATATCACCATCATTAAAGTCCTTCACAAGTCTACAGCTGTATATGGCAATATGTGGAATTGTCTATGGTTAGCAGTGGAATTGTGAAAGGCTGCAGTGGTGATGAGATACACAAACGCTTTTCTTCTGATATACCGTTGCAGTCAATGAGAGAATTCGATCATCATCATCATAACAGCCTATCAAAATCAACAGCTTTACAAAGGTCTTATAGATTGTCTCATGAAGGTGATTTTTTTATAGTAGCCACGCATGACAGGGGATTTAGCAACCGTAGTTTTATTTTTTTCCCTTTTTTATCCCTACTACCAATTTTTTGGTCCATTTCCCTCTATCGCCTCTTACGACACTCACGCGATGATATGAGGTGGTGGATACTCTTACACCGCCACGACACCGTGAGTAAGTGAGAGCATCACGTACCCATAAATCGTCAGGCCCTGAAACTTATTATCAAGATAACATTGGTTTCAATCTGTCAAGAAGATTTTCATTTGATATTTCCTCGTTCATATTTGTTAAAAAGTAAAAACGCCAGGTATTTAACTTAGTATTTTTTACTCTTGTACTAAAATATAATGATGAATGATATCGTTCACGGCATGCAGCATATGCGTTAGTGCAGTATCCTTTTTATGATTGCAAACAAATATTCAACGAAATCACTTTTGTTAGAGCAACCAAACCTGCTAACTGTCGATAAACGTTAATTTAATCTGCTATTCACACGGCTATCTCTACGCACTACCGTAGTCGACAGCGCGGTCATATTATGTGAGGCGATTTCGATTACAAATCGAGAACATAATATAATAAGCATGATGCGTATATATTTCATTTAATGAAGTCCCCTTTGATTCGCTTTCGTTTTATTTTAGGGCATCCAAATACGTTTCTCTTTGATCAAATAACAAATTTAGTAATAATTTATAACGTTGTTTGATTAATAATTAATGAGTATTTTTGACGTGTTATAAACTGTGTGTATATAAATATTTATAACCATCACGTTTATAAATATGATGATGATGATATAAATATTTAATAAATAATGTTTGTTTCCGATTTCATATGTATGAGAATTAGGCGTTACTTTGCGGAAATACATCATATTAAAGATATTAATATGCTAAGATCTGCGTGAAAATTTGAAACGTTTTTGTTTCTGGCAATTGATACAATCAGGCGTTACTTTGCGGAAATCCATTATAATAAAGATATTAATAGTTACTTTGCAAACATCCGCTCAATTAAATACAATGATGTGTCTTACCTAGATTAAAGAGCACCTCCCGCCCTCCTTCAATTGATTGCACTAATCCTGACTGACTCGGTCAGCCACCGTAGAGTCTACATCACCTTAAGATGCCTCGTGTATAGGCGAAACACGTGTCGTATTATCGTCGATGGTGTGTCTTTCCTAGAATAGTGGTATTGGGAGTAGTGGTGTTGGGAGTAGTGGTGTTGGGAGTAGTGGTGTTGGGAGTAGTGGTGCTGGGATTGGTGGTGACGGGATTAGTGCACGCAATTGAGGGAGGGCGGGAGGTGCTCTTCAATCTAGGTAAGACACATCATTGTATTTAATTGAGCGGATGGTTGCAAAGTAACTATTAATATCCTTATGTTTTTATTTCTATTTTTACCCGACTTCATTAAAGGGATCTCAATTCGATTGTATATCCTTTTCTTTTATATGTCATCATCATTACAGTCCTTCACAAGTCAACTGCTGCACATAGGCTTCCCCCAAGGAATGCTAAAAAGCACTATCCCGAGCCTCCTACATCAATCGACTTCCTGCATGTCTTACCAGGTCATCACTCCATCTAGTGGGAGGCCGCCATACACTTCGCCTACCAGTACGAGGCTGCAACTCGAGAGCCTTACTTCAACATCGGTTGTCGGCTTTTCGAGCTATATGGCCGGCCCATTGCGACTTCAGCTTACTAATCCATATCGGTAACTCTGTTTCTATTGCGGATATCCTCATTTCTAAGTTTATCATGCATAGAAACCCCGAGCATAGCTCTCTCCATAGCTTGCTGAGTGACTTAACTACACGTTTAGCCGAGGCACTGCATGGCCATGAGTTTAAATCCTGTTTGAAACAAGTATGTGTATTGTCG